TATATATATACATTAAAAAATTAGAGGGGGGACTAAAAAGTTTGAGAAGGTCCGATAAGAATGTTAAAAACCTTTATAATTCAAACTTTTTATAATTTAATCCACACTTTTTATATATTTAATCCTTTTATAAATCTAAACTTTAACTAAATTTTAATATATATAGATATATATTAAGAAGTTCGACGGGGGACTAAAAAATTAGAGGGGGGATTAAAATGTTCGAGGGGATCCTACAAGAATTTTAAAAACTTTTTGTAATTTATATCATATGTTTATTTTCAAAAGACTTGTAGTATTAATTATCTATTATCTATTGTTTTAATTAATACTTATGCTTATATAAATTTATACATAATCGCTTTTAATGTGCATCGGTGCGCACTAGTGCATCCAATTGAATTTATAAATTAAGAAACTATTTAAATAATATAATTAATAATGAATTAATTAACTATAAAAAGCTATAAAAATCAAAAGCATAATTTGATTAAAATGTTTAATAATTTTGTTTTAAGAATAAGAAAAAAGTGAAACCAATTTATTGTAAATATCTTGTACACATTATATTTAAAAATTCGGGAAGAAATTATAAAAAAAATTAATTTAAAAAAATTTGTTTTATTATATATATTTTACATGCGTATATATACATAAAAATATTTCAATAGTAAGTTATTATCCCTGGCCGTAGTATATACTAGAATGACAAAATATCACGCGCAGTTAATAAAACATTAATAAATGCTTCACATTTTTGATCCACAATTATGCATTTAGCACGGACACGCACCAACCGACCGTTTTACCATGGCACCGAAAAGTGAATTTGGCTATGTAGTTCCGCCGACTCTAAAATGAATCTAGTTGACGCTACTGTACCAGCTAGAAAAAGCGTCTTTCGAAAAACCATAGACATAGTATATCTAGACCGAGCGTTTGCCTTTATTTAAGGAGTGGGGGTAAAGATACACGTAGAAAAGGACATACTCTGTTTCGTGACCCTTGCGTTCTCTCTCTTTCGCACATAGCATGACGAAAGAGAGCGCTATGCTCTGTGCGAGCGAGAAGTACACATACACCAGCGAACTGCGAACACCTGTTGCATACTTATTTTCAGTGTTGACAATACGCGACACTGTTTTTCGCATAGACATAATATATATCTAGAGCGAGTGTTGAGGAGTGGTAGCCGAAGTGCACGTAGAAAAGGACATACTCTGTTTCGTGACCCTTGCGTTCTTTCTCGCTCGCACAGAGCATAGCGCTCTCTTTCGTTATGCTCTGTGCGAGCGAGACAGAACGCAAGGGGCACGAAACAGAGTATGTCCTTTTCTACGTGCACTTCGGCTACCACTCCTCAACACTCGCTCTAGATATATATTATGTCTATGCGAAAAACAGTGTCGCGTATTGTCAACACTGAAAATAAGTATGCAACAGGTGTTCGCAGTTCGCTGGTGTATGTGTACGATCGCATATATTTGAAATTATTCGAACGCTGTCAAACTTTGACGAAACTTCCAAAACTTTTTTATAAAAATGGCGACATTGTCCTACAGTTATATGCCTGATTATTTTTCTTTGACAGATATCTTGTGTACAGAGGAACGAATATCGTGCAAAGTCGAGGTTACATTACCTCGTTTGGGTAAGTTTATAATCGAAATTCAACATCTTTATAATTTTGTCCGTTAAAACACATAAAGAATGATTTATGAATGTTAAATAGAATTATAATAATGAAAAAATAGAAGAAAAATTATATCTTTTACAAGAAAAGAATATCTGCCAGTTATTAATTAATCTTTTAAATTATAATTATATGGTAAAACAAAATTTGCCTAATAAAAATAGTAGCTTAATACAAGTCAAATATTATCTGTTTAATTCTTATGCGTTATTCTTAATGTTACTATTTGTTTTATAAAATATGGAATCTGCATATTATTAATATCCTATATACATACTTAGGTTTCCTAGATCTTTCCTCTGAATCTGAAGATTTAAAAATAGGTACAAAGTTAGAGCTTCCGCTGTGGCTGGCACAGCCATTGAATATAGCGAGAGAATCAATAGTCAGTATAGACATACCTAAAACATACAAGGAAGGCTACAGGTACATATCCAAGTTTACGATTTGTTAATTTATATTTTTTAAGAGAGATTAATCATTCTATGAAATTCTTTATTAGGTTCAAATTTTATCTATTTATTTAAATGCGATTTGATTTTTCTATTTTTAAGAAATAAGCCTATCAGTAAACTATTAAATATAAAGTCGAGAAAAATCTTTTATCCAATCCATGATTAGTCTAAATTATAATCTGCAAAAATCTAAAAGATATGCATGTAGTAGAATTCATTTCTAATAAGATTAAGGGGAACTTTCTAACAATTTGTTCCTTCTACCTATTACAGGGAAATTCTATTAGCGGATGCCTGTACTGTTGTTTTAAATAAATGGAATCCATATTACTATGAATTAGGGATGTACTTAAGAAAATTCAATAATCGTGATTGTGAAATGATAATTGACAGTTTGTTATTGGTAAGTAATCTCATGTTAACTTTAAATGAGATTAGTTTATATACATTGATTACTCAATTATGTTATATTTTCTAGACCTTCAGATCACGATTTAGATTAGTTATGGACTGGGCGCAAAATCCTGTTTCCGACCCTACACTTAATAGTTTACTGCCAAGATTAGAGAGAGATTTATTTCTTACAGGTAGGAAAGCTAAGTTACAATTAAATGAATGGTTAAGGAAAGGTTCGAGCATTATAGAAACTTCGCAGAGTGCAGTAAATCTTAAAAAACGTAAACGAACAGATTATGAACTTGATTAAAATCGTATAAAATTTGTGTAATGAAATAATAATATTAAAGTTCAATAATTACTAATTACAATATCTGAGCAATGTGATATAATGTTTTATACAAATGATTTTCACAATGTGAGAATAAGATGCTAGAATAATATTTAAATAAAATTTATTATCTTATATCTTGAAATTACATATCCCTTTATATTAAAGATTTATTATAAGAATATCTATGTGAGTTCTATTTATTAAATAACAAATAAAAATTTTATTTACACGTCTTGGAATCAATCACATTCGAACTGTTAACACTGTATAGAAAGAATTGTGCAACAAAAGGTGGTAATATCTATTTCACAACCCACGACTATATATAAAAATTGTTAAAATATATATCTTAACAGATAAATATACAATGAAACACTAATATGTTACACTTCAATGAAATTTTTTTTCATTATTAACCATAATTGTTTCTTCTGTTGCACTACTATATATCTTATACTAAACGTTAATGTAACCTAAATTCTTTTTCGTACAAAAATAGAAAACATATTCGCCGGACTTACTACAGTAAAATCTACGATTTACACTATAAAACATACGTCTTTTAGTATAGTACTATGCATATTGTTGAGACTTCATGTATAAAAATATAATGTGACATAAAATATATGTCATGAAGAATTATTCAAAATTTAATAATACAAATATAACTTATAAAAATTATTGTAATGAAAAAGAATCAAATCATAGTAAAATTTAAATAAAGAAAAGAAAGAAAGATAATCCTAAAGTCTTATAAATTGTAATGCTATGAGAGTTTGTAAATTACAAATTTATTTATGTTGAGTTTCGATTTTTTCAAATTCAGGATTATTATCGATTACTATGATTATAGTATAAATCTGGATGATCAATAATATGTATATAAGATGGATCGGAAATCGTATTTGTTGTGGAAGAGTAAGTCAAAAATGTAAAATAAAATTTGTCTCATACAATGCTTTATTTTCGAGAAAATTAACTTTCGAAGTTGGAAAATTAATAAGCTTTTTAAACTTGAATGAGATATCCACATGACTATTTTATATAAATATAAAAGTATAATTACATTTGAGAGAGAGAGAGAGAGAAAGAGAGTAAATTTAAAACAATTTAACTTATTGAAAAATTGTGTATAAAATATCAAAATTATTTTTTTAATTTTTTAATAGGATGTATATATATCTGTTTATACATATGATATATCAGACTTTTATATGAGAAATCATTTCTATTTCAATTATACTAGCGATTCTCTCGATCTATCCTATATATTACATTACATTATTATGATTTTCGTACTCATTATTTTTCTCTATCGTTAACATTACTGTTTTTACCTGATTACTACGTTATTGCTTTTTATCCGGCCATAATATATGTCAATGTAGACTTCGCTAAAACCTAACACCAGAATAAAGTGCACTAGCCATTTTGATCAGGCACAGCTGTTGTACCGGCTTTCTGTCAGTTTCATGTACACGCGTGCAAAACGGCTAATGCGCGTGCACTTCTTATTACTATGGTATTAACGATAAATTGCATTGCAATGGCGCATTTTTCATTTTGCAGGGAACTCACGTTAGATAATTATATTTAGCGCGCGTCTCCCGTCAGTTATTTTAGGAATATTTACAATTAATGCTTATTATAATATCGGTATAGCTACATTTGGAATGTTTTGTTATGTTATTGCATCATGCTATTTACACTACTACATCACGAATTAAAATAACATTATTTCCATTCGTAGATTGAGCAGAACAGTAAAAAAATATTTTTTATAACATCTCTGTAGATTATCTCCGCTTATTTAATATAACATATTTGTAAATGTATGTTTCTGTACAAATAATAGTCAGATATATCTTTACTTCTTATTGCATCTCTCAAAATCAGAGATTGAAACCGGTATTATTTCGCTGAATTCGGATTTTGATATCGTAGAACATGCAAAATCGATTTCTATATGTAAATCGTGACGATAAAAATGTGACATTCAGCTTAAGACTGAGTTTTCTTTTTTTCTTTTTTGTATACATTGTAGCAGGGAAAATTGAAAATTATATAATTATTATATTTATCTCAAGTCTTGCTTTAATTCAGCTGCTAATTGTTATTGTCACAATTTTTTGCATGATATTACACACATTTCGTTCTCCTCGACTTTTGGTCCTGATCCGTATTTCAAAGATAGCGCGAACACTGTTGCAACAGTAGCATGTACTAATAGTGGCAAGATACGATCTTATCGTTTATTACATTTATATAGACGATCTCTTGGTTGGCGATCAATCATTTTTTCTACAGGTGCGGGATTTATTGTGTATCGCGATTGTCCATAAACTGATCAAATGCCCGTGAATTGGACATTTAAGCGGACATTCCTCCGAAATCGACACGATATGGCAAAATTAATGTTTGTGTACACGTCAAGTGATCGGACGGATCCTTTCTCCGAATACGGCAATTCCACATGGTTGCAACAAAGATATCCCGTAATGCATTAATTCTTTTTTTTTTTGCGTCAACGCAAAATCAAATAATTCTCGTTTGGCAAAACGACGTACGTTGCCGTACGACACTTTGATATATTATATTCGATGGGAAATCCTGTATTCGTTCACTTCGTGTACGGCAATGTGCCGGATTCGGCGTTATTTTTCTCACGCATATACCGATATATATTTTTTATTAATGTCATCGCAATCACATTTAATTCGATGCTATAGTAACATAATATATGTTATTTAGAACTTTATTACTTGAGCAACTGTTTGAGCAGAACATCATTGGCTAGTCAGCTCCCAATCTAGTCAGAAACTAGTCTCGGGCTCGAGACTTGGTTCCTGTTTGAAGAACCTGAAGTCCTGATTCGGCGCCAAATCCCTCAGGATCATGACGGGCATTTGATCGGTCTGCGGACTGAGATTACCGGTATTGGCCGGCGTCAAAGGACTGGTAGGACTCTCGTTGCTGCTCATATAACTGCCCGGCGCGGTATTTGAGATCGGTATGGACGTGATGTTGTCATTTACCTCCGATGTAGTGCCGAAGAATATTTCTTGAAGCAGATTGTCGATATGCGCCATTCCGAATAGCTTGACGAATTGTATCTGCTCAATCATTTGCCACGAGATCGACTGCAGGGCTGGTAACAATAGGAGGATATCGCCAAAGTGTCCTGTGAGGTGACAGCGATAATCGCTGATATAATTCTCAAGTTTTATCTGGATGTTTTTACGTAAGGTCCTGATCGTCTCCGAATTACTTAAACCTTTCGCGTCTGTAAAGAGACAGAAGAGTAATAAATATATAACGATGAAGTGATCATATGTAATCGCGTAGAGATCTTTAACGTCGTTCTTCAATCCCGACAATCATTCGCGATGCAAATTGCGTTAATTGTTAATAAATTAATTGACAGATGAAGAGAGATATTCTACGGTGCGATATGAAATTAATGAAATGGAATTACCACAAATCTTGACGCGAAATGGACACGCAATTTTTAACGTCTTATCGCTGATACTTATAAATAACCGATGATTTGCGTTGTTTATGAAAGCTTGGCGAACCCGCGAGGCGTGATTGCCTTAACAAGATCGAATTGATCGCCAGAGATTATTGCGAGCGAATTGCATTCGATCTATATTAACGGAATATATTTATGTCTGTTGCATGCAACGACAATCTTTTTCTATTCTGTCGCGCATTCGGGTAACTTTGCATTGCGAATCGCGATTATTAGATCTCGCGTGCGACGTAAGACTTTCAGATTTATTAACGAGACACACTTACTCGGATCAAAGAACACGAGTGCTTTGAGACAAGCGAATTCCGTGTCGTCGATCTTGATCTTCTTTAACGGTTCTACCAGTTCGTCCATCACTCTAACGCCAACCTTGCTGATATCTAAGTCCTGCTGATTGTTTCCTTCTGTGAATTGCAACGATATTACTGATAGACGGCGGTTATGCCATTCGTATTTCCTTGTGATCGTAGAAACTGAGTCCGGTGAAAAACAAAAACATTTTGCAAACCAAATAATATCAACATCCACACTTCTTCGGCATGCATTTTAGAATAGCACACAACATAAATCCCGGACTCAGTCAACTATCTACGCCCCAAAGTCGTGCACATACACAAACGAAATATCCAGTTACTAATTGTAAATTTACTAACGTATTGCGATACATTACTACGAAGTAAATATAATATTTCTAACACAGATTTGAATCCATCGATATTTTTCGATGCAAACTTACGAAAGTTTCGTAACTGAACAGTCGTTTTGTCGTGTGATCCTCAAATCCTTCCATTAAGTAAAGTTAATCACAAAAAGATAACATTCTGCCACAAAATGTTCTACATAATAAAACATGATTAACTTGTGTGACAAGACGAGTGACGTGACAGAGCGTTTTTTTTTTTTTTTTGTTTATCTATCATATAATGCAATAATATAATATACGACTTGCTGATGCTTTCTTCATAACAATAATGCAGAAGATTTAAAAAGGGAGACAAATATTACAGATCACCTATCTTGTCGCAAAGTCATTCAATTTACGAAAATTAATAATGATTTCAGTTGGATGCACTAGTGCGCACTGGTGCACATTTTTAAAGATTATCCTATAAAAATTTACAATATAAGCATCAATAATTAAAATATTAAGATAATTATAATAGCATGAGTCATTATCATTATTTATTATTTTAACAATAATAATAATAGCTCCTAGTATTAATTATTTTACTTTTTTAATTACTTATGCCATTACAAATTGATGTACAATTACCTCTATATATATATGTGTGCACCAGTACGTACTAATGCATCCAACCGAATTCGCTATAATTTAATACACATCATATACATATATATATATATTTTTCTATATTATTATAATAATTAAGAGTGACAATTGAATACATGTCTTCTCTTTCGAGAGAAAAATAAAAAAGAGAGAGAGAGAGAGAGAAATATAAGTGCTTGAATAAAATTAATTCTATTAATTAAAATATAATTCTTGAACATTTTTGTATGTTCTTGATTTAAAATAGAAATTCGTAAGATAAATAGAAAGAATTAAAAATTCAATTACGTAAATATAAAATTTGCATGAATATACAAGCGTATCTAAATATTAATAATATATAAACAAGATTTTAAATGTAATAAATTATCATAATTCGAAAGGGAAGTTTCGTAAGAAAAAATATAAGAAAGAGAGTGTGTGTGTGTGTGTGTGTGTGTGCGTGTGTGTGCGTGTGTGTGCGCGTGTGTGTGTGCGCGTGTGAGTGTGCGTGTGCGTGTGTGTGTATTGCGTGATTTAGAAATCCCACATGCACGAAGTTCTACAACTTACCAAATAAATCCGATATCCGAGGAAAGACCTACGTGTTTGTATCGATAAAATATTAAAATATTATAAAATCGTTCTGGTATCTAACATTCGCGTATTTTACATATTACAATGAGAAGATAAAGACGGAAGAGAGAGAGAGAGAGGGATGAGAAACGAAAGCAATCGATGGTTCTCGTGCAAACAATATTTCATCTTCAAATATTTTTTTTTTTCTCTTAATACTCGTAAACTGATAGGCTAGATAAAATGCGATTAGGATTTTTACAGAATTACAACGAAACGCGATAACGAGATATAGAGGAAGCGTCCAATAAGTAGCTATTTAACGAACGAGTGCGGCATCCGCGCATATGGACGGCCAAATTACGTAAGCAAAAAGGTGAAGGCCGTCGAATCGGCTATTTAGAGGCTTCCTTTCACATGTATGCTCGAATCTCGAAAAAAAGAAATACTGACACAGTCCGCATCGCAAAAGACGTATCGGTATCGCTTCAATATCGATGTATTTTGTCGACGACAGTCGAGATAACTTGGTTCGGTTGATAAGACGCCACTTATGCGGATATCGTGCTGTATAGAATGTTCCAAATGTTTTACATTCGAAACGGTTTATATTTAGAAATATTGTCTTTTACATATCGAGATTTATATTCATTAGGAAAAAAATATCAATTAATCGTATGCTGTTATCTTCCATAGGCGATTCTCTCTTCGCGAATATTTTGTACTTTTAGTTTTATTATTATTATTATTA